CTCATATTATATGTACAGCTTACAAATGTTTAATAAAGTATATGTAACTAGCCTGACAGAGGGCAAAAAAAAAAAAAAAAATCACTCTTTCTACTAATCCTCTGACCACATACAAAAAAGATGTTCACAAGAAGATTCTATTCTTCTTGACTAATAAAGTTTTCTTACTTTCCTTAAAACAACTTGAAGCTTGTCTTCATGAGTCACTATTACTCTTTTTTATTTGTTTACAAACTTCTTTAACTAAAAACTTGAGTCTCTGATGGTCTGAATAGACTCAAGCATGTACTTCCTCTACTAAAGGCAAGAAAGTTCTAGGAAGTAAAAGGATCAACTTGTGAAGTGTTTTCTTTTAAAATTGAATATTATATGGAGATAAAGGTTTTCTAGGCAAAGGAATATTTATTATTCACCTTCTCATATACTGTCTCTTGTCCTCTTAGAGTGTCTACTGTTTTTTTATAGTTTTTTTGAGAAATTTTACCTACCTCAGTTTGACCTTGAATTTTTGGTAGCACAATATTATTTGGCTTCTGATTGGCTAATACAGAACATGTTGGTAACAATATATAAACAAGGTTATATAAGTCATATTCATGTGTTCCAATGATATTATTGGTAAAATAAAAGAAAATGAATTGATATGCAATCCTTTACTTCTTTAAATAAAGTGTAACTGAAACAAAAAGACTATGAGACCATTAGAATAGGTACTAAATTCCCTAGGTGATGAAAAGGTGGTTATTTGTTCAAGCTGAGATCTTCAACTTCCTATTATCCCAGTTAAGCAAAGTACATGAATAAGGTTATTTTCTTATTTCAATCAGACAATAAAATTGAAAAGCAGAGGATTGCAAGCCACTACTTTTCTCTAAGATTGTGAATGCATTTCTTCAGACATTATGTAATAATATCATAATCGACGAGGATCCCCACTACTTTTCTGATATCCTCCTATCATTGTAAAATGAAAAGATCTTTGGAGAATGACTATTTTGAGCAATGGAAGATATACATTAATAAAATTCCTTTAACTAGGCATGACTGCTGGAAGATATTAGTAGTTATATAATATGACTGAAAGATTACATAAGAACTTAGGATCCACCATAAGTCATTATGCCTTGATGCGGGTGGATAATAAATACTATCTACTCTTACATCTTTGGCTAAGCGAAAGAGAACGAACATACTCTACCTTTCCCTTTATCAAGAAAGAAGAAAGAAGACCAGGCTCAAAGGAATACAGAATGAAAATGATGCCTTAAAAGTTTCACATCTATTCTTTATTAGCATAAATATTGGGAGATCAGTGAAATCTTTGGATCATTCATATATAATTAACAATACCAACATGCAGTTGAAGACCTCAGATGGCTAAAAAATATGCCACAATGGGACATTAGACAAATGATTCAATCTCTACAGATGATAGTACTTTGAGGAAAACAGTATAATATTTATCAAGTCCAACAAGGCGCATGTTGGAAGTATCAAGATTCTCCTTTCTAGGTTGAAGTTATCGCAATGATAAAGAAGGACAGATTGTTGGATGATGGGTCTCTAACTATCCCAATACCTATTTACTTTCCTTATGTCCTAGAATCCTCTGAAGTTTCCGACTTATCATTATCCAGAAAAACATCAGTAAAAGATTTCATATTGGATAGGGTATGGAAGAAAAAGACAAGAACTGGTAGATAAGGATTACAACATAGAAATACTGAAAGCAATAAAGAAACAGGCACTGCACTCTGAACTGATGAAGTTCTTGAAGAGTAACCAGCCTATAGTATCAATATGGTAGTAGTAGCGTGTTTCCAAGTCATCCATAACCAAACCATTTTCTCTCTTCCCTCTGATACCTTTTTTGTAATGCAAAATCTTCACCCCTATTTAAATTTGTACAGTCTTGGCTTCATTTTTCTTATCTAAATAAAGATATTAGAGTAGAGTAATGAATACAACCCTTTCTTATCTCTCCTTGGATTAAGTTAGATAAATCAGATCCAATATATATATCAATCACCCTTTCTAAAATTTTATATCACCCTAATAGTTCTTTTATTTGATTTCTGTCTAGAGATGACTCAGTTATGAGGTGGTTCTTTAAACCTATCATTAGTTTACTAGTGTATCATTGTTTTCTTCTGGTCGAATGTACTTATATAGTAAAACTTGCTAATAAACTTGGCCAAATCAGCTAAAAAAAAAAAAATAATAATAATAATAATAATAATAATAATTTTATTTTTTTTTTTAATCAATCATTAATTTAATTTTATTTTTAGGATTATTTGATTATATATAAACTTTTTTTTCTAAAATATCCCATAAATACTCAATTAGATTAAAATATAAACTTTAAACAAATCATAAAAATAATTGAATTAAATCATTTTTTTCTATTTTTTCATCTATTTTATTCTATATACAGGTGCATTGTTATTTTGAAAAAAATATAAAGAATTATTAATAAAAAATTTAAGATAATTTTTAGAAACTTTTAAATATCTTTGATTATTAATAAAATCAGAAATCTCAATTAAAGGTCCAAGTATAATTTGTATAATACAAGATCATATTTTTCATGTGATTTTTGTCAAACTCATTTATGCAAATTATTTTAAATAGTGAGATTTAGTTCAAATTTTTTTTTCATTACATCAATTTAATTTTTTTTGCCTATTTTACACTAAAATAAAAGGTCTTCTCAATTCAACTTGACTATAGTAATTTTGTTTATAGAGTATATGACAGATAGTCTTATAACTAACTGAAATAATCATGGAGTATTGAATTTTATAATAATTTGTTCAGCAGTTTGTTGATTAATTTCATATCTGATTGCATTATTCTTGATCTACCTGATCATGAAGCAATCTTTTTATATGAAAAACCATCTTTAAAAAGACCAATATTTTATTACATTCAAAATCTGTTAACTAAAAACTTTCTTTGATTTTTGAACATTTGACATTATGGTAAGAAAAAATTTTTAATTGTATTTGAAAGCTATGGTTTTCAGCTTTAAATTATTTTATATTTACAGCCGAATATATTGCACAATTGAATTTTAACTTCAGAGGAAAATTTCTAAAATATCACCGTTATCCACCCAGTGTATATATACCGTATATGCTAAACGGTTTAAATAATCGGTTCTGGTCACCAATAAATACTGCATGTGGGTAATCATTTTACAGGGATTTTTCGAACGCTATAACTACGATCCTAAAATTTGCATCATTTTGTGCAAAAATTTTTTTAAATTGTAACTTGCACTCAATTTCGGTAGAAATAAGAAACGCTTCATAAAAAATGGCTCTTTAAATGATAATATACAGTAGTTTTTTAATTCTAATTTTTAATGATATCAATTTACGAAATGTGTGTGTATTAAATTACATAATGAAATGTAACCGATGCTAGGATCTATAATTCACTGTACATAATGTTAATATTACAATTTCTGCTAATATTAGAGTCACTTACAACCCAGAACGACGGGATGATTTTGATCTGATTTTGAAACGGCTACGTGTATTGAAGTTCGGAGTGGTGCTAGTGGTCGAAACCGAAGGTCGTAAAGTGTGTTGAAAATTACTCTGTCCGTCTGTCCTACCCATCTATTTATAAGCATTGAAAAAAAAATTTTTTTAATTGTAATTCTTAGTAAGTAAATGCAATATTTTGTGTATATAACCTTGCGTCTTTTTGTTCGATTTTGGTTACTTGGAGATAGCCAATCGCTTTGGTGCTCTGACTCCAAGTCGTTGGTAGGAAGAATTTCGACATCAGTAGATTTCTGTTTTTCTGAAGAATCCTCTTCAATTTGATGCCCATCAACCTGGATCAACAATATACCAATGAATATTAGATTCAAATAACATATGCAATAATTTATGGCTTACCTTAGATTGATTGTTTTCGAGATCTTGCGACTCTGAACTCTTTAGCAAAGGAAAGACGTCAGAGCTCAGATTCTGTTCCTGCGTTACCAAGTCTCTACTCGGAGTTTGTTCCTATTGTTATGGTGGAGACAAGATGGTCGAATGACTTTAATTCTAATAATTAATTAGGAAATAGTATAAATTGCTTCTCACCATAATCATAGAGTCAATTTCGGTCAAAGTTAATGGACGTAACTGGTCGTCAGCTTTAGACACTTTTATTTTGATGAGCTCATATTTCTCTCTATCTGTAATGTGGTCACGCCCTAAAGTGGAACCAGAAATTTTCTCCATCTATTTTTCAATGGATTAAATATAAGCAATTTGTTCAGCCTCAAAATGGTTACTTTTAACGAATATCTGACCTTCGAATTCAGTTGCTCTTCGTTCAACGTCTCCATTTGTTCAGAATCGACCTGAAATTGTTTTGCCTGATGAATATCACTTCTCTAACGTGGGAAGACAGACAAAATTAATTATAAGAAACCTCGGGCGTATTTTCAGGAGGATTATGACTCATTTTCTGTTGTTTTACACACATTTAACAATAAATGATAAATTTTTCAATGACAGAAACACGGGAAAATAAAATACAAACTATTTTATGCTGCAGGGATCCTTCACTCGATTCTAAATGAAGAATCTTGGACTTCAATGTTTCCTAAGTTACCAAAATATAATAATTACGTGAATAATGCAACTAAAATGCTATCCAGGATTACTTCTAACATACAATCTCTTCCATCAAGGCTATTTCTTTGGCTTTGGCTTTTCGAATCTCATCTTCATTTTGAGCTTCGGTTTGTTTGGCCATTTTTTGATAGTCGGAAATATCCCGATTAAGATTATCGACTATCTCGTTGTGCTTAATTTAAGATCGATATATTTTACTAAATGCTGTAAAAACAAGTAGTTCCTCAAAAACATCTATAAAAATTGAGAATTTTTAATTACCCGAAGACTAGCATTTTTCATGTCTTCCGCAACTTTGTTGCGTTCATTTTGCAACTCATCGTACTTTGTTGTAAGTAAATTCAATTGTGATTCAAATGAAACCACCTTGGACTATTTGATAGGACAATTAAGACATTGTTGCATTAAAACAAAGATAATCTAATAGAAATAACCATTCAAACCTTCCATGTGTCCAAAGCCAAATTCAACTCTTCAACTTTCTTCTTGTTATTTATATTCTCTTTCTCGAAATCCAACGTTACTTTGGTGTGCTTTAATTGAAGGTCCAAATCTGGAATGTCAGACGTTCCAACGGCAACTTCGATAATATACGAATTAATGAAAGATTAACACATACGAAAACCTTCAAGAAAGCATTCGTCATACGAATACCGAAACTCACCAGCTTTTCGGTCCAGGTGTCGCTTCTCCAATTCATGCAGTTCAGATTCCAACTGAGAGATTCTACGAAAAATAATTCAAACAATCACCATTAACACGTGCGCACTCTTGAATATGTTTGTTAAAGAGATAGAGTTACATAATTTCAGGCTAACCTCGACTTATCGTTGTTATTAATGAGAGTTAGTTCGTCTAGTTTTCTATCAGAATTATGTAATTCAGTCTCGAACCGGAGTCGTTCGGAACGTTCATCTCTAAACTGTGATTCTAAACGTAAACGCTGGGTACGCTCCTCACGAGTTTCCGATTCCAACCGAATACGTTCATTGCGCCATTCAGTTTCTAGTTGACAACGTTCTTTATAAAATTCCGTTTGTAATTGGTGCCGTAAGTCACGGAGTTCATTTTCTGATTTTTGATGTTCGATCATTTGCTGTGTACGAACAGCGTCTATTTCTTTTTGAAGGGAATCGAGTTCCTTCTTTGCATTAAGCTTCTCTTGATTATATTCTTGCTGAAGGTGTTCATACCTTTCCTCGGTCACTAATAATTGAGATATCCTACATGGTGTAATCAAGGTAAGTTATAAATCGGTTCAAGAAAGAATAGATTAATTTATAATTCATCGCATTACCTACCGTTTATCTTTCTCTGAAATCAAGGACTTTAGGTTTTGTTCGACTTCTTGAATATTTCTCGTAAGATTCATAATTCTTATCATAAAATTCATACACCCGAATTAATGAACAGTTTTAGAACATATCGCACACGCATAAATATATGTATGTATACATATTATTAATGACAAAAAAGAAATCCTCACTTTTCTTCATTTTCCTTTTTATCTAAAGTTAAAGTTCGGCATTTTTCATCGACACACTCTAATGAAAGTTTAAGTTTCCCACATTCTTCAATGTGGGCTTCTTTTTCCTTCAGGAGAGTTTCTAACTTTGCACGAGTGGTCTCAGACTCCAACGCGTAGCGTGCTGCCTTGTTCTCGGAATCCTGTACTGTCTGACGCAGTTGTGTGATAATATTACCAAGTTGCGTATTCGTGCTAGTGAGTTTGGTGTTTAATTCTGTAATCTGAGCAATCTGATCTCGTTCTATATTGATGAAAATGTGTATGATCGACGGGTGAAGTGGAGGTGGGTTCAATTCATTATCAATAAATCGAATTCGACTTACGTGACTGAGAATCAAGGATATGACTCTCTGATACAGATTGATGTTTTGCGGCAAGTTTACTGAACTCTGTCCTCGATTTATAAGGTGCACACACGTGACGCGAAATTATTAGAGGACAATATTATAATTAAAATTATTCCAATAGTTAAAGTTATTTACCAAGTTTTAAAGAATTTATGTCTTCTTCAATCCTTTTCTTTCCTTCTCGAATTTCTTTCATAAACTTTCCTACACTTGAAAGGGTGTTACGGTATAAAAAATACTTGGCCTTGATGTTTTCGATCCTTTCGTGATTCCACTCGGCACTAACTTGCTGTTGCTTAATAAGTGACTCCAAGATGAATATTCGTTCTCGGTAGGTATTCATGGAATTATCCTGATGTTCTACAGTCTCGTGTAAGGTATTAAGATTGTCTTGCTACATAATAGACAAGTAAATTAACATCTGTAACTCTATAGTGAAATCCGTTATTTACAGAGTATCCTACCAGCTCTTTAATGAGTGAATCTCTTTTTGACACGTTATCCCTCCACCGGTGTACGGCTTCCATTATCATGCATACATCATCCTTGTCTTCTTCATTGCTCGTATTTTTCTTTTTTTTTTCCGTTATACTCTGATCAATACACGAACTTAAATGTTTTTTGGGACTCTCTACCCTATAAGGGTAATCGTCTTGTTGTGGTCGTGATTTATCGTCAACATTAGATAGATCTGGAAAATCGCTTGAAGCGGCAACCTGGTCATCTTCGAAAGTTGATGGAACATCAAATTGTGATTTCAATGTTGTAGAATCTGTCCGCATGTTATCCTCCCGAGATATCCTTGTGTCGTCTGAAACTGTGTTTTCTTCTCGATTCACGTTTGGCGCAGGAATATCCGATTCTTGGGTCAGCGTCACATCAACAGAAGTTTGCCCTGGAACTTGAGATTCAACATCCAGAGATTTTTCGTTGACCGTCGAAGTTTTAGTGTTCCTTTCCTCGTTATTATCAACAGTGGTTTCTCCCGAATCTTTGTCGGAAATTATAGACTTTACAGAGAAAAATTTTGCAAATGATGGTATGGTCAAATCAGTGGAAGAAGTGCTTTGCTGGAAATTTGGTTTACTAGTAGCATTCTTTTGAAATCCTTTGAAAGGATTGCGTGTTGTATTC